TGTAAAACGCTTGAATCATGCCTACTTTAAATCAATATTAATTTTAAAAACACACGCGCGCACACGGTCGAGTGGCTGAATATAACTCAACCTCTCCTCAGCATTTTGGTGGCTGATGAAGTCAGAGCAGGCCAGTTATCAAGCACACTAAATGAGACCACAATTACAGTGATTAGCAGTGAACTGCCAGACATTTACTTCCAATTAGAGGCAAATCAGAGTTTAATGAGAGAGACAATGTAGAAAGATGATACAAACTGTGAATATTAATGCATATTTAAGAATGTATCCAGACCTGCTAACAGTGACGCCTGCGGTCAGGACTCTATTGAAGAATTTATCACACTCCCAATTTCAGCCCATGTCTTCCCGCTCAAGTTCATACATCTTCATGTACATAAATTTGGCCATTTTGTCAGAAAAATGAATCTTTAAAATGAAGCCGCCTTTGTTCACAGTTTATAATATTTCTTTGCCTCTGTTTTATGGCATTATGATAATGTCTATCCCAAAGGGACGATGACTGTATGGGCCAAAATTGAGAACTGAGTTCAGTCCCAATTGTGGGTCGCCAGAGGGACTGAGGACCAGCGTCCACTTGTAAGGGAATCTTTTTCTAATTAACGTCATGATTGATGATCACTAGGGAAACTCAGCTGCAGGGTCCAGTTCTTAGACGTCTCATTTCACGTTAATGGAAAGCCATTTAAGTGGGATCTTTAAATACTTCAGGGGGTGGTGTGTATTTTGGTGTATTTGTCAAATCTGTAATTTCACTTAAAGCTGATTGTGCTTTTAATACTATAAATCAGCACTGAACATGCTAATTAATCAGTGGTAACTGAAATGGCACATTTAATCCAATTCATGAATAAATTGAGGTGTTATTTATTTACTCCACATTTTTGGGTTGTAATTACATTATATATGCATGACATGCAAATAATTTGTCAAACTTAACCCTCAGCTAAAAAAAAAAGAAAGGCTGTGTAAATGACCTTTTCTTGTTTTGAGAAAAAAGAGTGCAGTTCTAATCGTTCAGGAGTGAAAGATTTTTTTTTTCCTTCCTGACCAATGTTGCATATTTTAGAATATTACATTTTATAATATTACGACATTAACTTTCCTATTTTTATATATTTCGAAATGTAATTTGTTTCTAACTATTTTAATATGCTGCTTGGTGCTAAAATTATCAATTTTCAAAACATAACTGTTTTTTTTTTTTTACTTTTTAAAATTAAATTAAAACAGCATTTATTTTAAATTCATTACCTACAAAACACTAAACACCAAAAAACAAAACACTGAATAAGAGAATATTGAATAATAAAAACAATTTGTATTAACATTTTAAATATTTTTTATGATTTTTTAAGATAAATAAGCAAACTAAGTATTAAAGAAACCAATAAATAAAAGTGTGATAAAAATGATACAATGCTAAACATAAATTAGTACATCCTATTTTAAAACAAAACAGACTTATTAAATGGATATATTTATTAAAATAATATTTTAACCACCAAACATCTTTACAAATAGATAGATAATACATTTACATTATTGAGAAATTATCTTAAAAAAATTACAAACTAAAAATTTTTTTATCATTTTTTTGTTTCTCTTGAATCTTACTCTTTTAGTTCCAGATTTACCTTCTCTATTCTAATGTATATATAATATAATATTGTAAAGCTTCCAATAGAAAATATTTAAGCAATATTAATGATATTTTTTATAATTTAAAAATGTTAATTATACAAGTTGAGCACTGTAAATGGTCAAATCCTTGCTTGCTTACTTACTCCCTGGGCCATTTATATAGAAGTTGATATTTAGCCGCACTATGTTGGGGTTTCATAACATCTACTTTTTATGAGGTGGGTCACCAATGCTCAACCCCCAACCTGGAGGACCAGGACATACACTACAGACAATTTAGCCAACCCAAATCACCTATAGCGCATGGCTTTGGACTTGTGGGGGAAACCGGAGGACCTGGGGGAAACCGGAGCACCTGGAGGAAACCCGCAGGAATACAGGGACAACATGTAAATTCCACACAAAAAGGCAAATGATAAAATAATGAATATAAACACTTAGTACCCAAATATTAAAAAATATTAAGTTTTAAATAAAAAAATAATAATCTAAAATTTAATACAATAAATTAAAAATTATATTATTTATAAATTAGATTGAATTTAATACCAAAAAGGGAAAGAAGACAGATTAAAATCTAAAAGATTGAAATATCAGCTTTAGCAACTCTTTCGAATGAGAGCTGCTGTTACTCTCCTGACATTCATCAATGCAAAAAGCGAGTACAAAAAGAGCAGGCTGTTATCTGTGTAAAACTGATTGGCGCATCCAGACCATCGCTAGATTCATCTGCTCATGTCTGTTTTGCATAAGCGCCTGCAGTCCCTTAATTGTTCACCATTCTGCATTCTGTGATGCCGAATCTGCACTGAAATCCACTCACAGGCAGGCACTATGAAGGCTTCCCATCACCTCAGAAACCATAACAGGGGTTCGTAATTGCTTGATAATGTGGAATCAATCTATTATTAGAGGCTGAGTGAAGTTGTGCAGTCATTTGTCGCAGTAGGATGTGCAAACGCACTCAAAATGCATGAATTCATTTGAATTGATGTTTTTCAATACTTTGCAAGCCCTGCAGGACTAAATCCCTATCTCTTATCTTTTAAATGCATACTTATTTATTTTTTTGGAGGGGTGGGGTCGTTGCATGTGGGGAAATGGAATTGATTCAATTTGTAGACTTGACATAAATTGTTGCCGCAGAGAAGTACCATACAATTTTTAGAAACACAATTTAAAGGCTATACACATAAATTGAACAAAAAATAGACATAATATTAGTTAATATTATTATTAATTAATAATATTTGATTCCCAGAATGATGTAGGAATACTAATTTCCAGTTCCCAGGACATTCTCTGTTGATTGGTTCTCTGTTGGTTAGCCAGGAAAAATTCAGCTTATACTATATAACCTTCTATTTCACAGAGAAATTTTCTGCGATCAACATTTTTTTTTACAAAAAACAAAACAACAAACATTAATTTGTTCATTTTCCTTCAGCGTAGTCTCTGATTTATCAGATGTTATCACAGCAGAATGAACCACTTACTACTCTGGCATGTTTTACGCAGCGGATGTCTTTCCAGCCGCAACACAGCACCATGCTGGGAAACACCCTTATACTCTTGCATTCACAACCACTCGTACACTACGGTCAATTTAGTTCATCTTAAACACCTATAGTGCATGTCTTTGAACTGTGTGGAAACAGGAGCACCCGGAGAAAACCCACGCAAACATGGGGAGAACATGCAAATTCCACACAGAAATGCCAACTGGTCCAGGTGGGACTTAAACCAGCGACCTTCTTGCTGTGAGGTGACAGCTCTAACCACTTTGCCAAAAACAAATAAACACTCCTGAGAATCTTACAGTGCTCACATTCAGAAAAGGTTGATAGCCCATTGTGCTCAACTTTTCTCCACTCTGCACTGACATGTGCTAATGAAGTCTTGGTGAGTCAGTAAAGACACAACCCTTCACCCTCCCTTATGTTGACCAGTCCTGATGGCACTTCAGTCACATGCCGTTCAACCTCTCTGGGAAATAAAAACCCATTTGTGCCTGTTATGGTCATGAAACTGGCCATTATGTACAAGATCTGTTGTTATAGCTACACTTACCATTTTAATGACAGTCTGCATTACTGGTCAAATGAAATGGCTTTACGAGTAGTAAAGCATTATGAGGAGCTTTCCAGAAGGGCGGAATCAATAGTATAATGTCTAATAAATATTTCTTCTGATCATAAAATAGTCCCTTGCTCTGCACAAAATAAATAAATAAAAAACACCCACACACGAACCATCATCACTTGCACTTATAATACAATGCCTATATTAGGAAGAGAGAGAGAGAGAGAAATGAAAGAGGGGGAAAGAGATGCACCTCTGGCCTTGTTGTTATTTTTTTCGCGCTTTCCTCTCAGCCATTCCAATATCAGGCTTGCTTTAGCCATCTGAAAGAACAGGAAATGAAGGCACCCATATCACACGCTCATAATACAAAAACAGTGATAGCAGCTCGGCCAAAAGCGTCGGTGTCGACGGCACAGGCACACAGTCATCCAGAGCCCGAGTGGCCGCCCTCGCGTTCAGCATCCCGCTTTACCTCACGTCCACAGCGTGGTGGTGAGGCCTTTATCCTTATTATGAGATTAAAACTTAAACAAGAGCGCTAAAGCAGAACTTTAGGCAAGTTTTAATAATAAAGCCATCTTAATGGTTAATTAAACTATTAGGATATTTAGGCAACACCACTGTACAAAGAGAGAAGAGAGAGGGAGACATAGGCTATCTATCTAGTGTTCTACCACTCATTACTGTTAACCTTGACCCAACCCTGCCACCTAGTGCACATACAGCAGTGTTACGAATTTTATTGCTGATGGACATCGTCTCCTTTGCTTCTTTTATCATTTAGCTGATGATGGCTTAATTAAAAACAGTTTCTCAATATTCACACGCATTCAGATGTCTGTTTTAATTAAAACAATACATTTACCCAACATTATCAATTTGATTAAACTGATCAAAAGTAATTGTAAACACATTTAATGTTACAAAAAGATATGATATTAATGCTGTTATTTTGTATCGATGAAGGAATACTGAAAAACTTGTTTAGCCTTTTATCTAGTAGTGAATATATTATGCAGCAATACATTTTGATTTTACAAATATAACCAAATATCGGAACAAGACTACATTTCTTCAGAAGAAAAAAATAACAATAGTAATACATGTCGCACTCTTTCTCGGTTATTATAATTAATTTTTGCAAGCATGAACACCTCTACATTTGTTTAATATATCTGTGTATTAAATAAATGACTAAATACAATAGGAAAAGGCATCACATTTTCTAGAAATCTGTTAGCAAACTATTCTTAGTAACTGGAATCAAAAAGAAGTCTTTATTGTGCACCAAATCAACATGCTAGAAAACACCATAAAGGATAAATATTACAGTTTTAAATATATTAAAATAGTAAACAGTTATTAATTGTAATCATCTCACATCCGTCTTTACTACATTTCTGCCCAAACAAATGCAGTGTTGGCACACATAAGAGACTTCTATCAAATATATTTTTTAATAATTCTACCAGCCAAATTCTTTTGACGCATTGGTTTCCCTAAAGTATTCTAATGCTTCCTGTTTATTGTAAAAGACACAATGTGATAGAGAGTTTCAGTAATTCACTAATTCCATCTTAGTCCCAAATCTTAATTTATTGAAAGTCTCATTTGCTTGCCAAACCAATGTGCAGACAATGTCTGAAAATATAGTTTAATAAGATCCAAATTACATTCCAAATCAAGTCCAGGCAATGAAAAGTTTTTTAATATTAAAATATGATCAAAGCATTTCATTTAAAGCAGATTCAGTCTGAAGTTTTATCCTTGCTCCTCAAATATTGAACTTCAAAAACACTGCAGCACTGTGTGGAATTAAAGTAAAACCCTGCACAGAAAACTGCTCCCAAATAAAACCTCTTTCACTAACAGGGATCGATATCAGCGATGCGTGCAAACGAAGACTCCGCGAGGCGGTCGAGATTCGCCCTTCACTTTCATTTAATTGTCCAGCACAATTGGCACTGTAAAAGCACAAAGTTTCCATTGCCTGGAAATAAAAACGTTCATGTCTGTCAAGCTAAAAACAAAAACAGTGCTGCTGTTATGGCTGTGTATTATAAGACAGCAATAAAAACATTATAAATAAGCATTTAAAGTTTATGACAGAAAATATACAACTTGCAATACATTTTAATTCTCAATATGATCAACTAAACAAACACAAAGCCTTAACACAGCAATGAATTTGACAAATAGACATGGCAACTGAGACTGTCTTTATATTTCATATCTGTTAAACATTTCTTTAATAGTGGAGAATTTTACAATATAAAAACCATTTTGACTCGGCTATGTGTACAATGTTGTCCAGAAAAGAAACAAAATTTATACTTAAACATCTTTTATACCTGAGACAATCGTAGAAAAATAGACAGATACAAAATAAAAACACCTCTAACAGTCCCTGAATTACCCTTGCTCTTGGTAACAAACTGGATCTTCATTTTCTAAAATAAAGATGAAGATTTCACATTGAAGCTATTTCTCTGAACATTAGTATAATAAAGTTTTTTTCTCAAGTCTAAAGAACATCTGCTCATCCATCCATCAATCTCTCCCTCTCTCTCTCTCTATATATATATATATTTTTTTTTAAGTAAACAAACAATTCCTACTTTAAAATAAATAAATAATTGACCTGAAGTTAAAATTATCTAGCATGTGAATGCCGAAAGACATTTTACAGTGTTGTTGTTGTTTGAAAACCATCAATTACACCCAATGTTTCTTTCCTTTCTTGATTTGTTTTTTCTTTATGGGTCATCACGCATCATCATCTGAGAATTTGAACTTGGCATAAACAATGAGCATAATTATTGACATGACTACACACAATGAACCAACCACTAAATAAGCAATGCCCAAGAAATCGTTCCTCCCTCCCATCCAAGACACGTTACTGAAGACCACCTTCTTACGGCCATCAAAAGTCAGTACTGGGTAATCTAAAAAATAAGTGGTTAAGGAACAAACTTCAACTTCCACCAAGTAACATTGTTTTACATTGTTCAGCCATAATTACATAATTAATTAATTCTATGCTTAATAACGTACAATAATAGGTTTGACTGATAATAACTGACAATAATAAAATGGCTTTTTTGAACACCAGTCCACTTGCATTTTCTGAATTTATAACAGTGAAAAGCAGACTAATGACTGCTGAAAATTTGGCTTTTCTATAGTAAATATAGTAATATTATATACAGTTATATAAAATTAAAATTTTTTACAGTATTTTCTATTATATTTTTCTTCTGGAAAACATTATATTTATTATAGTTTGGTTGGATAAAAAAAAAAAAAATTTACATATATTTTTTTTTAAATGTAAAAACTGCTAAAGTCAATATTATTAAACCAATTAAGAAATTACTTTAAGTTTATATATATATATATATATATATATATATATATATATATATATATATATATATATATATATATATATATATATATATATATATATATATATATATATTGGATCGGTAAGATTATTATGATTATTATTTAAAATTATGATCACTGACATTGCATTTATATATATATATATATATATATATATGTGTGTGTGTGTGTGTGTGTGTGTATATACACATATATATATATTTTTTATATATATATATTTATATATATATCAGCTAGTTGATTTATAAGATTTTCTTTTTTAATATTAAATATATGCAATGTCAGTGATCATAATTTTAAATAATAATCATAATAATAATAATCTTACCGATCCAAAATGTTTTAACAGTACACATTTTTCAAAAGCAAAATGAAATATTTTTGTGCAAAACTGCACCTTTAAAACAAATTTCAATAGTTCTGCCTTTTCAACAATTTACATAGGGATATTAAGTGTATCCAAAGTCTCTTGTTTGTTTCTTCTACATTCTGCTCTGAAGCAGCTAAAAGCCACACCCAACCTGTAAAACCTGTTGGCCTGGATCACAGGCAAATGCGCTCAAAAGACATCTGCAAAACAGAACTCAAGCCATATGTGGACTATAAATAACTAAAGACTGTAGTCATGACGAGGCTACTAACTATAGAAATCTGGTAAATGAATAAAACATGATAACTCTCTACTGTTAATCCCTTTGACTTGAATGAGTTTTGACTTTCAGATGAAGGATACTGTAATGGACTGTCATGGAGTAGTTCCCAGCAGGGAGACCCGCGGCATAATTGCCCTCTGTGATTCGCCTGTACAGCTTTCTGAACTGAGGAAGTGCTGCTCTCCTCATCCACACGAGGAAGTCCTGGTTCAGAAAACCATTGTTGTTAGGGTCTGTGGAGTCCAGGTCATATGCAGGTTTGGGCCAGTTTATTGGCTTCACTGTACCTGTTAATTAACATTGATGAAAATAAAGAAATTAAGTACTAGTGCAAGTCACAAATTCAGTATAGTGACAAGTTCAAACTTTAAGATCAATTACCAGCAAAGGCATTTGCTAAAGAGCCGTTGACAAATGAAGGGTTCCTGTACTTAATGTTGTAATCAGTCCACCAAGCTATACCTTTACCATCTAATGGCACCAGATTTTTGGTACCATTGATTATTTGGTAGAGCTCAAATGTGTCTAAAGAAAAAACAAAACAAAAAAACATTTACTGTAAAATATTACAGGCCCATTAAGCAATTTGAACTTATTTCCCTTTATTTAATTCTAATTGTCCCAACAATTTTTGCATTTGAAACTCAATTCAACTTCAGAATCAAGTAATATTATTCAAATCATGTAATTCAAATGTTTTTTTTTTTGCATTGTTTTGAGCAAGTTAAAATATTATCTTTATGATGAATCTTTTCATATTTAGTTAATTCAACTAACATTCAACTTGTTTAAAGCGATAGTTCACCTAAAAATGAAAATTCTGTCATAATTTTCTCACTACTCGTTTTAAACCGGTTTTACGTTGTTTCCTCTGTTAAACATAAAATAATATATTTTGAAGAAAGCTGAAAACCTGTACCAGCGGCTTTCATTGCATGTATTTTTTCTACCCCAAAAGTAAACGCTCACAGATTTCAGCTTGCTTTAAAATATCTTCTTTTGTGTTCAAAAGAAACTCAAAAAGGTTTGGAACCTGAGTACATGAGTAAATAGTGAGTAAATGTTCATTTTTTCTTTTTAGAGTGAACAGTCCCTTTATGGCAGAAGGTAGAATTAAATTAAGTTTACCCAAATAAAATGGTTTACAGTATTAATGACACATCCCAGAGCTACATGCACACATTAAGTTGATCTACAAAACTGAAATGATACCGTTGAACATGCTGTTTGCTATTGCGCCACATGGGACAATGGGTCTGTTTTGGTTGTCATAACTATATGGAGAGCAGACAGATTGTGGACTCTGGAGGAAAATATGAACAAGGAAAGCAAAGTTCATTACATGGAAAGCAAGATATAACACGTTTCAAACATTTCAAAAATCATTCTTGCCAAATGCACACCGTGAAATATTGTGTATCGCCAGAGAGCTGATAGTAGTCCAATGACACGCCATATTTCCTGAAGTTCTGGTAGTAATTAGACAAGCCATAGTAAAAGAAGACAGGACCCTGTAAGCAGCACAGACATTAGTCAGTTTTAAACATTTACATTGAGTATTAAGATAAGTGTTTGTCATTCTGATCAAAAGTGGACAATGATAAATGCAAGTATAAATTAAATCTGAAACTTTATAAAAGTTTGTCCACTTTCAGCCACTTACAGAGATAGTTGAAAACACATATTTGATTTTGAGTGTTCCATTATGAGAGCAAACTGGGGTCAAGTTGGTTCAAACAACCCCCAAAGACCACCTGTTGACCACATTCTTAAACATTATAGGACAGGTTGTTAAAGCCAGAAATTTAATATTTTAAACAAAAGTTTAGTTGGTTTGAAGCGGACAAATGTTTAAAATCAGAATATCATTTCACCAGTCCTTATTCTAACAAAAACACAGCGTTCTGTGTAGTTTTACAGCTAGAATTAAAAAAACTGCTTTCTGTGTCATTTTCAGTATCTCCTTTTAAATTCATAATTCATTGCAAGGTTACAACATCCTAACAACATGCAATGCAACATGATTCCAGCGACAATCTATTTGGCTGTCCGCACCAGACGTGACACGACAGACACATTTAAAATACCACTGACATAAAAAAAAAACAATACATAGAGATAAATAAACAATAAAATGAAATTATAAAAATTAATAAAAATTAAATAAATTGATAAAAATCACAGAAATGTGTACCACACTCTCAAAGAAATAAACAGGTTTATAAGCGAATTAATAAGTAATATGGATAAGCAGAAGACAATGGATGAATGATAATACACATTAAACCTCATAAAAAGTTCACAGTCCTAACTTTGAAGTAATGTATATGTCTGCTAGTTTTTTTTTTTTTTTCAGTTTGTCAATAAATGTCAGACAAAATGTTGTTCAAACTCATACTAGTGACATTTATTACTGAATAAAACACATAAGCAGCATCTAAGGAGATCATTGTCATAGTAGTTTATGCTGTTGTTCAGCTGCAAAGCCACAGAAATCGGAAATATGCAAACACCTGTCCAGGCATGGGACGATAACCGTTTTCAAGGTATACTGTTGTTTGGAAAAGTCAAGGTTTTAAAACTGCCCAAAATTTTCTGGTATACCATCCCTAAGGTATATGTAAGATTTTTTTTTTTTTTTTTTTTTACTGTTTTAAGACAACAGTATCTCCAGCAGAAAAGATATCCAAAGATGTCACTTTAATCTGTACAGAAATCTGTTTTGAGACTAATAAAAACAGCAGAAGATAATTCATTTTTAATTATTTAGCCTGACATGTTTACTGCTCCAAAATATTTTAAATGTTTATTAATATAAAAAAAGTTTTACTTTTCTAAACATTTCTAAAGAGCAGTATTAATATTTTAAGAGCAGTAATCCCAATATCATGAAATCATGATATTTTTATCCAAGGTATACCATCAGAATCTTATACCAGCCCATGCCAAAACCTGCATATCAGTGAAGAAAGTGGTTAAAGGTAGACGAACCACCAAGTGTGAACATTTATATATCTCCTCATCTACTTGTGATTTGATTTATTAATTTTGATGCTGAATACCAAGTGCAATCGGGGTCATTGAAAGAACAATATCAGACTTAAAAATGTGGAAACTTTACCGTAAAAAGTTTGTCGAGGGAGAATGTGATTTCACAGGTGCAGTTTTGGCTACTTGTCATCGAACAGCGGAAACAAGATGAGTCCGTCGCAACACCCGTGTAGTCCATCTGTGACATGGTGAGAAAAGACAGCATTCATTTTTAATAAATGTCTCTCACTTTGCACAAAGCAGCTAGGTTAATAATATTACTACTAGGCAGTATAATGTAAACTCCAAAGTAAATCTAAAACAGTCTTGAATGTTTAAGTAGTGTTGTCTATCCTTTAACAAACAACCAGGAACTGACATGAGTTCATGTTTAAACTACTTCATCAAAGAATGAACAAAATCCACCTGGATCCTGTTTTTTTCCCCTGTAGTAAAGGCTTACCTCCAGCACTTGGATGGTCTGTGAGGTCAGAAACAAGCCAACACCGATCCCTATGAAGGCCAACCCAATGACTAGAAAACCAGGAATGACAATGCCAGCGGAGAGTATGGGCTGCCATGCCGGGAGACGTTGCTGTGTGAAGGCTGTGTTGTCAGGCCGTTGGGCCGTCTCTCCCTCATTCTTCATCCTACTGTTCTCTGAAAGGGGGAACAAGACATTGCAAGTAAATTATGTATAAGACATGGAAAAAAGATAAGAGACAAATTAAAAAAAATCTTTCACTGAATTTACTGCACTTATGTTAGGTAAGATATAAAAGTTTGTTTCAATAATAAATGTCTGATAACATTTCTTCTAAATTACAAACAAAAAGAGTCTCATTTAGAGTTTTGTTTTCTTGTTCCAAAAAAGGACAACTGGCCAGAATAACAAGTGCTTTTATTTGTTGTGACTGAAAATAAAAGTTATTTCACTAAATGTATTTCTTAAGTCTTCTGTATTTAAAACATTTTTATTGTGTAGTCTAAATAAATAAATAAATGTCTGAAACATGGCTCCATTTGTTTTATTTTTTTGGGAAAAAAGCTTAATTTTAAATTTGAAAGATATGCCAATAGTGTACTGAATGTGTAAAGTTGAAAGTTGAAGAAAAATGTACTAAAACACATTTAAAAAAAAATGTAAATCCTGAGAAACAGAGTTTTCAAGAAGTCTTAATTATTTTCATGGTAGTATATTTAAAATAATGAATCAATATAATGGACAAGAGGTCACAGTACAGTACAAAAAACTGCAGAGCCAATTGTAAATTGTAATTGTATAGCAACATCAACAGTTATATTGCTAAAACTCCACAGAACAGAATGAAGTGTTTAAACAATTTCTATTATAAGCAAACACCAATTTTGATTGGCTGATTGAGTCACAAATAATGTTACGTATAAATTGTTTTGGTTTGTTACATTTGACTAAAAAGTAATGTGTTTATTATTAATTGACCAATGTATGTCTCTTAACGGTCTTCTTCTAATAACTTATTTTGATTACAGTTAAGGTTAATTCCCTTGAGAGTAACCGACAGTAAAACAACAACCGATGACAATCGCAGGAAAACAAACAAACCCGTGCTTCAAAAACCTCAATCACTGATGATCACAGTTTTAAGAGTAGGAGTCTTAAAGCCATAGAAAACAAAACTCACCTCAAAAAAGAGTTTGGCGTTTGCAGTGCGGCTTTTCTTAGATGCCCTCTTTTATAAAATCGTAAATTACATCGAAAAACAAAAGACACACCTTCACAAAGTCCCGTACCTGTTTTACTTGTTCAACACCTGGGTCAGCTTTTCCGCCTTTCGTATGCTCCTCCTATTTCACATACGTCACACCGCTGACCCCTCCCGGATTAGACTGGTGGTTTAATTATTTTTAGATGATATATATCGTTTAGACATATATCGTTTATTTTACAGTCTATGGTTTAGACATCTAAACTTGATATTAACTGGCTAATATTAGTTTCATAAAATTCTGAATTTGCAGCTTGTAGACATGTTTTTATAAAAAATTGTTTAATATGATATAGTATTCAGCATGTTAATCTTTCAGATTATGTTAGTGTAGGCGACTTAATTATAAATTATTTTAAGACAATCTGTGTCACCCTAGCATGTTTACTGGGGTTCTCTGATGATCCCGAATTTACATTTTATGTTGTTGATTCAGAGTATACATTTTGCATACAGGTGAAACGTGCAAGCAGAATTTGTATAACCTACTAGACCTTACTTTCCGCAACATTTGATTGATGGTATTTTTAGCCAATTACAATGCTGAACGATTAAGATCCCACCCGTTTACTTTCAGCGTCTACTCTGATTGGCTGTGTGATTCCAGCAGGGACAGTCGTCTGTTTCTTTGTGTGAAACCCCCCACAGCAGCGAGGAGGTAAATATGAAAAATATTATTTTTTCATATATAAACAAAGCCTAACACGTAAAATGAGATTAACGCATACCAGTTACAAACATTTAGTATGATTTACACTAAAATTAGCAAAGAGGAGCTTGAATGTTTTAAATAACGTTAGTTGTGTAAGCATTATGAAAAGCTCGTGCCGCTAGCAATAGCATTTTAGCTAGCCACTGCATCAGAACATCAGTTGACGTTATTCCCTTATTTCATCATAGTTTCAAAATATGTTTTATTTGAACGTTTTATGAAAAACATTTTTAATAGCTTAGCTAACATTCAGAGCTGCGATTGATGTTCTGATCATAAATTTGTGGATTTTCTTCTCTGCTAACGTTAGCACAATTAAAACATCTAAACTGTTTAAGATACATTAACGTTACAGGTGTAAAGCTAAACACCGATAAAGGCAATTATGTTCATGTCGAATTTTAATGCAGGTCAAACATCTGTTTATTTGGGTATAATGCTAGAGCATTTGTGAACGTTGTGTAACGGTTTGTTCACGATCTGTTGAGCAGAGATATTGAGCCAAAATATAAACAATACGTTCAGTAATAATACATAATCATAATGAACATGTGATCATTACTCGTATAGGCTCCTTTCAAAGTAATTTGTTTGTTTACAAACGGCAGGTGCACAACGTCGACATTAAACGTATGCAAACCTCATGTTGTTTTGATGATAGTCATTGTTTTTTTTTTATTGAATACAAGAATAATATCACTGCATTGAAGAAAAAAACAACACAAAAATAAAGAAAGAAAAAAAATTAAATTACAAAGCCTCAATCATTAAGAAAAAAACATTATCATAAGCTTTAAGAAACGTATTATTTTTCTTATTATTAATAAGCTTAAGAAATTCAATATAGTACGAAACTTCGACAAGGAAAGTATTAAATATAGGTATTGTTTTTAGCAACTTATTTGTGTATAAAAAATTTACAATAAGATCGAGAGCATGATCATTACCCGAGAAATACAGAACTATATCTTTTATAGACAAATTTAAATCATGATTAAATGAGGACGATAAATAAAAAATATTGTTACTCCAAAGATGTTTGAGGATAGTCATTCACACGTAGGCCATTTGTACATGTGCTCTGTGATCGCACATTCTAAATATGTTTGGTATATGAGGAGTCTAATATAGTCATGATCTATAGATATTTAAATATTCTGGCCTCTGGTTGTCTATTGTTGGTATACATGCATTCAGCTCTTTTCTCTATTAAGGAGAAGCCTCTGTCATCTGTGATGTTGTCCAATAAGAAGTCAGACCCAGGCTCCTCCTCTTCGTCAGGGGGTAATGGTGGTGATCGTGCTCCTGAAACCCTTGCTGCCCCTCAGGCTGGTCCAGCGGGTCCCTCTGGCCCGATTTCAGCAGATGTGAAAAAGAAAGAAAGAGCCTCCCCAAGTGGAGAACCAGGTGGACCCCCTCTGCCGCACCCTCCTGGACCAGGAGGCATTGATCAAGACTCTGCAGAGGGTCGTAGAACTAGTCGACGTAAACGGGCAAAGGTAAACATCTCCAATAAATTTTCCTGTTCTCTTCAAGAGAGAACAGGCACGATTGTGGTAGGCTTATTTAGCTGAGTTTTACTGGATTTGAAAAAAGTAATATTATGAATGATATGGAATTTATTTTTTTTACTTTTAAATAAAAATATTATGTCCATTTTGACCCAAAGAGACATACAAAATATAAATATTTATAATTTGTAAATGTGATAAAATATGTTGATTTGTGTAATTTTGCATTATTATAATTGTTTTTATTATTTTAGCAGTGATGAGTAAATGTTCTTGATTAAGTGCATTCATTCAAGTTGGTTGGATACTGGTAATTCTTAAATATACATTCTTATTTTATGAAATTATTAAAAATGTGAACTTCATTCATTAATTTTTCTTCGGCTTAGTCTCTGATTTATCAGGGGTCGCAACAGAGGAATGAACTACTCTGGCTTATGTTTTACGCAGCGGATGTCCTTCCAGCCTCAACCCAGCACCATACTGGGAAACACCCATACACTCGTATTAACACACACTCATACACTACAGACAATTTTGTTGTAGTATAGTTTTTGTTTTAATTGTGGTTCAGATATTGTTGATGTAAAGAAATTTCACATAATTTCTCAATTGTTTAATAATATGCTGGTAAAAAAAAAAAAAAAACGTAGAATTTTTTTGTTCAATAATTAATGAGAAGTTCTAAATCAGATATGGTTTTAGTTGTAAAATATTAAATGAAGTTTGCTTTATAAAATAACCAGACTTAACACACTCAAAGAAGTATATTTATCAATTGTGAAATTCAGTCTAAATAAGAGGCTTTTATTTTTTCACCCCAGCTGAAGCAGGGCTAGGTTTTAATGAAGCTTTTATTGTGCCTCCTGCTGCAGGTGGAGTACAGGGAGATGGATGAAAGTCTCGCTAATCTTTCGGAGGATGAATATTACTCTGAGGAGGAGAGGAATGCTAAAGCTGAGAAAGAACGCAAGCAGGTGATTCCTCCACCAGCACCACCAATAGAGGAGGAGAATGACAGCGAACCTGAGGAACCATCAGGTATCAACGGTGTGGTTTAATGAAAACATTTGCACTTTACAGAATTGACTGAATATGATTTAAAACATACAAATAAAAATGGATTTTCTCCACACAAAAAAAGTGGAGAAAAAAAGCTAGTAGCTGTGAATTTATGAATTTGAAATGTTGGGTTTCTCAGGTGTAGAAGGGGCCGCCTTCCAGAGCCGTCTCCCACATGACCGTATGACATCACAGGAAGCTGCATGCTTCCCTGACATAATTAATGGACCACAACATACTCAGAAAGTGTTCTTGTATATTCGAAACCGCACAGTGAGTTAACTTCTGGAGGAACTATTCTGTGATACAGTGATCTCTTGTTATCTGCGGGAGTTACATTTTAAAAATAAGCCGCAATAGCAAAAATCCATGAAGTAATCAGCTTTATTTTTTTACAATTATTATAGAGGTTTTAAGGCTGTAAAACCCCTCGCTACACACTTTATACACTTTTCTCAGAGAGACATTAACATTTTTACACTTTTCTCTATGTTTAAACACTTTCAAAGTTCAGCCTCCATAGAAAAATAAGTCTAATATTATAAAATGAATCCAAATATCGAAACCATTTAATCTTTATTTGTTTATTACGTAGTGGTGCTCTACAGCTGCAAAAGTTCTACCTCTTTTTTTTAAAGCATTACCAGAAATTCAGCTTTTTGTGTGATGGTTAGCATCTTCTTCTGCCTTTGGGTGCTACCGCATGTGCCTTTGACGATGCAGAAAGTTTTGTCAACATTGTAGGAAGAAAACTAGCAAACATACTGTGCAGTACTTTAGAGTCACACTGCAAGCGATCTGAGATTTATGTAAAATTGGCAAGCTGAACATATTATGTGCTCTACAGGAGACACGGCACGAAGGACATTGATTGACAATAGTCTAAAGCCAATCAGGAAGCAGAACACGATGTGGTGTAGAGAAAACGCATGTCAAATTGCACAAAAAAATCTGCGAAACTGTGAGGCCGCGAAAAGTGAACCACGTTATAGCTAGGGATCACTGTATTTGTGAATTTTCTCATTTATTTATTTGTTTTATCTTGTATTTAATGTTGATGTTGAATTGATCAGTGGTATTGAAGACATTCATTGTGTTACAAAAGGTTTCTGTTTTAAATAAATGCTGTTATCTTCATCAAAGAATCCGGAAAAAAAAATCAAAACCAAGCAGGACAACTTTTTTCAGTATTATTATTAATAAATGTTTACGATTGCTAGATCATCATGGTAAAAAAGCTTTGTGTAAGATTTCTTTAATATATTTCTGAGCCAAGATTATAATGCTAGTGTAGAAAGAAATGTTTTCGGTACATGTTTTAAGATCCTCTTTTTTTGAATAATCAGCTTCAGCTGTGGTTGGACAACCCCAAAGTCCAGCTCACCTTTGAGGCCACAGTGCAGCAGCTAGAAGCTCCATACAACAGTAAGTGTGTACAAGTCATTTCATGTTTTACAGTTCACTAAATGTTTAGATCTATTTCTATCTGTTTTGCTGTCTTTGTGCATATTTATTAATTTGTCTGTGGTTTCTCTCTGCAGGTGATGCCGTCCTGGTCCACCGGATACACAGCTATTTAGAGAGACACGGGTTTATCAACTTTGGCATCTACAAGAGAGTAAAGCCTCTACCAAGTAATTGAACTCAATTCTACAACACATCACATGCAGAGATACTAATGTCCAGACAGGGTGGCAGAAGTACAAGGCTTTTTCCACATTCAATTATATTTCATTTGTCAGATATATAGAACAAACTGATAGCCTGTTTGCAGCTGCCATTTAAACAGACATGGAAAGATTTTGTATGAACTTCTATGTTGTTCTAAAAAAAAAAAAAAAAAACGTCTTATTTTCCTATAGCAAAGAAGACTGGAAAGGTGATCGTGATTGGTGCCGGGGTGTCAGGGCTGGCCGCAGCAAGACAACTGCAGAGTTTTGGGATGGATGTGACTGTTCTGGAGTCAAGAGTAAGTGCACTGTGCTACAATGCTTTTACTTAAAGTCTTTTTTGTCTTTTACAAACTTTGATTGATCTTTATAGGATCGAGTTGGTGGACGAGTGGCCACTTTCAGAAAAGGGAACTATGTAGCTGACTTGGGTGCTATGGTGGTGACTGGCCTGGGTAAGAAATATTTAAATGCTCTTCTCTCCAGAAGGTGGCACTGTTGACCATTGAAAAAGAGTCCTAAATGTTCAGGTTGATATTGCATAGACATTTGCAGCAGTGAAGTGAACTGAAGTGTGTTTGTGTGTCTTTCAGGTGGAAACCCTATGGCTGTGGTCAGCAAACAGGTCAATATGGAGCTGGCTAAGATAAAACAGAAGTGTCCCCTCTATGAGGCCAATGGACAGGCTGTGAGTATTCTTAGAACATTGTCAGACAAGCATCACTCTCAGTTCATAACACAGATAACTTGCATATACTGTTTGTTCTGAACTTTTAAGCATTAAGTAAAAATCAAGCATAACTAATATTAAAGATTAGGAGTATAAAGTAAACAAAAACAATTTAATCTCAGTGATATTAAAGATGTGGTTGACAATCCTTAAGACTTCAGTGTGTATTTCAGACCATTAATGTGATTAAATAAATTAATTGTTTAAATGAAATATGAAAGGGCAGTGCTCCTCCTGTTTTCATCTGACTGGCTGTTAAAAGGCAAGCACTCAGCCTATAATTGGAGAGAATAATTATCTAATGGTCTTTTTTTTCTCTCTCTCACTTTCTGCCCCCTCTTAATCTCCCAAACATTTTCCTTTACACCCCCATTCTCTCCTATGTGTTTTTTTTACCTCTCACTTGCTTTCACCACATTTTCATTTCTTAAACTGATGGATTGCCCTGATTATACAGGGAGAGCGCTGCACAAGTGTAAGTACATCTGTTTATATTATCATACAACACTTATTATTCGAGGAATTATAACACACTCGGATAAAAAAAGAAATTGCCATCTTGTTTATTTGCAGTATATGTGTTTATATGAACACACATCTGTTCAACACAGTTTGTTGTCCAAGAACATGATGGAAATGAACACCTGTTAAATGACAGGTGTTCTGCTTCTATAGTGCATTCTGATCCACTAAATGCAAGATGTAATCTGTCTGCATTGTTTAACAGTGCAACTGAAATGATGAATTATTAATGTAGTGTATAAGTAAAATAGATAATTCACCCCAAAATAAAGTATAATTTGTTGTCTGTTTACTCTTCTCAGACCTTTCAAGATATAAATGACTTATTTTTTTCTTCTTCATTAGAACCTTAAACATTTAATTATGTTTATACAATTCAAGTAAACAACTGCTGGCATGTTCAAACTCAACAATTAATACAGGAATGTCAAAATTAATACATGTGGCTCCTGACAATACTTTGAGTTTATAAAGAGAATCAGTCTGTGCAAGAAACTGAACTTTATTTGTAATATTACTTTTAATCCTTTTACTTTAAATACTTTTAATTTAGCTTTGTAAGACCTCTGTGTATCACCAGGAAACAGCAAAGATTATGGTTTCAGCTACAGATTTATAATATACTACTGTAGAAAAAAAAAACTATTATCAAGTGCTTATTTAATGTTTGTAACTTTGCCAAAGGTCCCTAAAGAGAAGGATGAGATGGTAGAGCAAGAGTTTAATCGCCTGTTAGAGGCAACATCATACCTCAGCCACCAGCTTGACTTCAACTTTCTTAACAACAAACCTGTGTCTCTGGGACAAGCACTGGAAGTGGTCATACAGTGAGTAAACTCTGTTTGCCTCATGTTCTGTCACTGAACATTTGTAAACATGCCTCTGAGTAAAAGCAAATTCTGACGTTTAGACTTTTTATTAAAATAGAGTAGCGATGTGTTGTTGAAGTGCTCCTCTTCTGTATTCAGGCTACAGGAAAAACATGTGAAAGATGAACAGATCGAACACTGGAAGAAGATTGTGAAGACTCAAGAAGAGCTCAAAGACCTACTGAACAAGGTAATTGACACATCCTTCATTAACAGCTTACTCATGGCACACAGTTACTTAGATTGTGTTTTTCTGTCCAGATGGTGACTACTAAGGAGAAAGTGAAGGAGCTTCATCAGCAGTACAAAGAGGCCAGTGAAGTAAAGCCACCCAGAGACATCACAGCTGAGTTCCTGGTGAAGAGCAAACACAGAGACCTCACAGCACTCTGCAAGGTAGAGAACCAATTTCCCACTTTGACCAAACCCACATGACCTCACCCCACATTGACCATAGACCTTTTTTATGGTTTGTGCATGTTTAGAAATTTAGAAACGAAGATAGCTCAACCCTACATGTCAGTTGGTTCATTTTATGTTCTCATTTCAATCGGCAAAAAATAACAAACAATTGATATAAATGGTACCTCTGTCTTAATTGGCTTGTTTATATTTTTATGAAAATAAAGGTCATGTTTAGTCAAACTAAGATCTGAAACTGAGAACAATGTTCCTGAAACGGACTAACTTACCCCTGATGCTAATCAGTAAGTAAGCATTTGTCACAGCAACATCTAATGAGTTCAGAGACTACAGATGTCATGCTCGATCTCAATGTGTTTTTACTGCACAGCAGTTTTTTCCAAACATGCCAAACACCTATGCGCTTGGTAATGGAGCATAATACCATTTAAGCCTGCTGTTTCAGTTGGGTTGTTTTAGTACATTTTCCAAACCACAGTCTAACGCTGTCGGATTCTCTTTAGCACCCGCAGTGCAGAAAGTTAAATTCCTAACCTAAACAGTCGTCACTGGTGAGATTTTAGCATGTTAATTCACATAATCACTCTCAATTGTTGCCCATTAGAAGCGTTCGGACCATTTATGGTTGAAACACGAATTTCAACGCCTGTTTGCTCACACTGAGGTTTGACTTCATTTTAAACTGATGATGTACTTTTAGTGCAAGTTAGACTTCATTTTAAACTGATGATGTGCTTTTAATGCATAACTCTTATCTAGATGAAACATTAAATCTTTGGTTTATAGTTTGCAAAATTGAGAGTGGTTTTAGCCAAATTTTTATATTCTCCAAATTAATTTCAGAAGGTACATTTTACAAGTAAGTACATACAGATTTATTAGTTCTAAGGGGCCAAATCATCTGTTTTTCATGATACGCATGACCAGTCATTTTGGGGTCAGTACCATTTTCCAAAAAGTTTTGAAAGAACTCTTTTATGCTCACCAAGACTGCAACTGTTTTTAATGTATCATTTTAACTTTTAATAAAATTTAATTGTGTAAAATCTAAATCAAAATTATTCCTGTATTCAGAGTTTTATTTTCAGCAGCCATTATTTCAGGTTTTAGTGGAACATGATTCCTCATTATCTGAAGACATTTCTTTAATGTGTATCAGGGTTTTACTGTATGTTTATGAAACCATAATAAATTTGTATGTATTCTTTCATCATTAGAACATTTAAAAGAACCACTTTTCTTTTAAATTGCATTATTAACACTGTGAGAGTCTTTAGGCTCACCCTTTATCAGTTGTGTAATGAATAAAACCACTCTGTTTTCTTACTAACTCCAAACATACAAACTTTCTTACTAACTCCAGACCAAACTTTTTATTTTGTGTAAAGTATTTATTGTCAAAAAAGTCCCGAGAAACAGCTGAGATTGTTGGCAATACCTGTAATGTTCTGTTTTTAATACTACTAAATGAATGAGAAATAGTACTATTAATTGTGTTTTTGGTCTCAATATGACTAAAAACAAGTTACTGCAGACTATAACCAACTGACACACAGAGAAACTGTAGCAGGATATTTTAGAGTTGTGTGATGTGGTTTTAGGGCAGGATTCTCTTTAAATAGTCCTGTGCTGGTTTGCTGGGTGAACTGCTGGCTTGCTCAGAAGAAGGATGATTCTGCCCTCTGAGACCAAACCACTTCTGCTGCCCTTCAACAAAGAATGTACACATCCAAAAAAATCACACTTGAGTGTTGAGGAGAGAGGAGGGTCTAGCTTGGAACTGTGATTTGTGAAATAAATGCTTGAATAAAGCATTTAATGCCAAATATTTAATATCATATTAGTGTTTAAGTTGCATTTTAAAGAGTCAAACATTGGCTACCCTAATATCTGGAATTATTATCTCTACTGGGTATTATCATTATCATCATCTGCCATTAAAAATTCACATAGGTTCAACCTCCTAAGAATCAAATAGTTTATGTGAATGTTAAAAGAAAATGTATGTCTATGTGCTGATCTGTGATTCTGCTGCAGGAGTATGATGAGCTGGTGGAGATGCAGGTTAAACTAGAGGAGAGACTGCAGGAGCTGGAGGCCAATCCACCCAGGTAATCAAGAAAATAACTAAACCACTGACATCACATTAACATACTGGGTTAAACTGCTGAATGGAGTCCAAGTAATGTCATTCTGGATCTCTTTTTCAGTGATGTGTATCTGTCTTCAAGAGACCGTCAGATTCTTGACTGGCACTTTGCAAACCTGGAGTTTGCCAATGCCACACCGCTGTCAACACTCTCACTCAAACACTGGGATCAGGTACAGCTCTCTCACCTTTTCTTGCAAAGCACCTGTATTGTTTTGGCAGTGTGCCTTCCAAAGCTTTTTACAACTTTGCATTTGTTTTCAATGGAAAACAAAACATTTACACAAGTAGTTCAAATTGGGCTTTCGCTGTATGCGAAATTAGAAACAGGTAATACTTCAGTTAAAATCCATATCATAGCAACAAAAAATAGTGCACTGCCAAAGTGCTCAAATGTTCACATCTAGACTGTGAAAAAAATGTGTTAATGGCCATATGGCATGCAGAGTGTTCATGTAACTCAACCTGTGCTAACAATGCCAATGTCCTAGGCAGTGCCAGACAGAATCTGTAGGCTTTGTTTTTGCCATTTCTTCACAGCAGTTTGTAAAACAGATTAATAAAATGGCTGTAGAATGACTGAAAGTGTAATAGCTGAAAAATTCACACACAAAATAAAAACAAAACTTTTTATTTCATGTTTTTGATGCAAATTGAATTAGAGCTTTGTTTGGTTTACAGATCTAATATAGTTTTCATATAATACATCCACTTGAAGACAGAAAAAATACAAATTACATTGTACATAAATCATACAAACATTCGCATATTATTCAATAATAATACTGAAATAATGTAAAACCTGAATATTATTATTATTATTATTGACTTTATTTTACCAGAAAACGCACATTGAGATTAAAAGTCTCTTTTACAAGTGGGTCCTGGCCAAGATTAGACAGTATACAGTTCACATGGGTTAAACAAACAAAACACAAATAACAGGTAACATCATTCATCCATCAAAACACATACAATGACAGTGAAAAACTATTCAGAATATCTATAGGCAAAAAAAATTAGAAGCATGTTGTGAAACCAACTCTTTTAACTGTACCTTTGTTGGGATATTATTCCATGCAAAAGGTGCTGCATATTTTGTAGCCTTTTTTCCCATTTCAGTACGGACCACTGGTACAGACAATAAATAAACTTCCTGAGAGCAGAGGCTAAAGCTAGAGACAGGTTTTTTACAAATGTAAGTTTGAAGATATGAAGGGAGTAAACCCAGAATAAACAAAGATATGCCAGTGCTTGAGCCTACAAGTGGAAAAAGCAGACCTTCCTACCTGAGTGTACAACACACAATGATGAGTGAGGGATTTAAGATTTGTTATAAACCTCAGTGCACCATGTAAACAGTGTCTAAAGCATGCAAACTGAGAAGATGCATGCATATAAATAACATCCCCATGTATTCCAATTCAGACATTAAAATGGCAGAAACAAGCTTCTTTTCAGCATCAAAAGAAAGCCAAGAGTCAATTGTAAAATAGAAGCCTAAAATCACTTACATTTTTTCACCAATTGCTGAACATGAGAGCCAAAGAAAAGGGTGCCATCAATCAAAATTCTAAAGTACCTGTACTGGGACAAAAAATAAATATATATTTACAGACCTTCACATAAGTAAATAAACAGATTGAGTTATGGGCTCAAAAATCTGCAGAAATATGTGAAGATGAGCATAGTCATAGGTTTGATTTACAGTGTAAACTCAAATTACAGAAAAAAGTGTTTGCTCCATCTGTGTTTGAACAGGATGATGATTTTGAGTTTACGGGCAGTCATCTGACTGTGCGGAACGGGTACTCGTGTGTCCCGGTGGCCCTTGCCGAGGGTTTGGATATCAAACTCAACACTGCAGTAAGACAGGTCCGATACACATCATCTGGTGAGTCAGTCATTCACTCAAGTTCCTGTTTTGTCTGTGTTGTGTTTGTGTTCATGACCATCATGTCCTTCCTGTCTCAGGTTGCGAGGTGATTGCGGTGAATACTCGCTCCACTACCCAGACATTCATTTATAAATGTGACGCCGTGTTGTGTACCCTACCTTTGGGAGTGATGAAACAGCAGCCGCCGGCCGTGCAGTTTGTCCCTCCTCTGCCAGAATGGAAGACGGCTGCCATCCAGAGAATGGGCTTTGGAAATCTCAACAAGGTGTGAATAACTGTTTATTCCATTGCAGACGAGAGAGTGTTGATGTAATGACAATGCTGGTCTGCGTCAGCTTGGGACATTTTATGAGAATATCAATCCAGAGTGAACATTTGCTTGGGCTGGTTAGGTCAAATCAAATCTAAAGGGATGGATATTGGTATCTTTCTATATATAGTCCTTAACAAATTTACCCCTACGTATATTGAGAGTTCAGGATGCGTCATCATCATTTTCCTCCTCTGCACTCTCTCGCTCTCCTCGCTCCCTCTCCTGGTTCAGCTGCAGCAGAAAATTGCTGCAGTATTATGCAATTGTCCTGCTCCATTTCTCTGGTTTTGTCACAAGAGGGCACAGTGTGGTACTAGATTCATTCACAGGGCTGCTTTATCAGAACCAGCTGTCTGCACACACCGCAGGATGTCAGAAATGTACACTGAAACAGTTTTTCATTGACTCGTTGAAAGCATGCATTAGCGAGGAAGCTTGCTTTTAGCCCCCCACCCCTCCTCACCCCCATTTTCAAGGTGCCCTTCTTATCATTCTGTATTATTTTAAACAGTATTTTCAGGCTTCTGTAGTATTCTGCACATTATTATGATCTGTTTTGCTTAAGCGTTTTCCAAAATGCATGTACATGCAATAATGTGGTCACATGATGGTGGAATAATTAATAGTGGCCTTTTAAGTGGTCTTGATCACATTTGAGTTATGTTGATTCAGCATTAGACTGCTAGTCTTTTAATTGGGTTTATTTAAAGGGATAGTTCACACTATCACTAGAGTTTTGGTGACTTTCGCATTTCTTATTTGGTTCACAGAAAAACAAAACATTGTTTGAGACCACATGAGTTGAATTCAGTGTGCTGTGCTTTGCAGATCATAGCATGCATGTCAAATGACACTTTTAAAAGGCCCATCTTCTTAAATATGTTTTGTGTGTTTTAGGTGGTGTTGTGTTTTGATAGAGTATTCTGGGATCCCAGTGTTAACCTCTTTGGCCATGTGGGAAGCACGACAGCCAGTCGAGGAGAACTGTTTCTCTTCTGGAACCTCTACAAAGGTGAAGGTTATTTTTTTATCAATGCTTAACTGTTATAATTCTGGCTATTAAATTGGTAAAGGAGGTATAGGTCATGTAGGCAATAACTGGTGTTGTGTGCCGTGAGCACAAGTAAATGGTTAATATTAAAATATATTACCGTTTAGCGTAAAAAAAAAAATTGTTTTGAAAGCTGCTTATTCTCAACTTATTCTCAGCAGTTTTTATATGATTTAAGAGGAAAAACTATGTTAATATTGTGACTGATTCTTTTTTTTTTTAATTTATGTTATAAGGCAAAGGCATTTTTAAACTAGTATCAGTAGCACTCGTTAGAGTAGGCATGGGGCGATATTAAATTCTGTCCGTATGATGACCTTGGTTACAAATATATTAGTTTGAATGAGCAGTAATCACAATACTAAAATAAGTTTTTTTTTAAGTGTCTGGGTAAAAAACAACCACGTTTCCCCTATTAAATACAATATATTTTATTATGAGAAACATTTTAAATATTTTGGAACAGTAAACATGTCGGCTAAAAAATTCAAATGAATCATCTTTTTTTGCTGGAGATTCTGTTGTTCTAAAGAACTAAAAAAAAAATGTAGAAAAAATCTTACATATCGCGTAGGAATGGTATAGCAGAACATTTTGCCAGTTTTAAAACCTTGACTTTTCCAAACGGTCGTGTACCTTCAAAACAGTTATCGTCCCATGCCTACATTCGAGTAATAAAGTGAATTTAGCTAAATCATGGTAGATCATTGGAACCTTGTATTTTATTTCATGGCAAGAGTTCAAAAGGTTTTTAAGAGGAAAAATATTATTAAAAGGTTTTAAGGGTAATGAAAAAATGATAGATTATGTTTGTTTGCTGTCTCTGTTATACACTTGAAAGTGTGAAACCTGTGGAAAAAAAAAGTTTAAAACCTGTGACAAAAGCCCCTTTCACACAGTGATACCGGAAAATATCCGGAAAATTTACGGAACGACTTTACCGGTATGTTCAAAAAAGCGCTGTTCACACAGGCGAGGACGTTACGGAAATTTTCCGGAAAAGAGCATTCACACATCCATTCCAAAATACCGGTAAATTCTGACATCATTCACCACAAATGAGCTTTAAACGGCTGCGCTTGTATTTGTAAACATTTGACTAAATTACATACTCTTTTGATGATCAATATTGTAAACAACTTTCACAGGATCATATTCGCATGTCGAGATGTTCATAATATGTGCGTGTGCTGCCGCTCACAGGCTGTTTCATGGGCACACGCAAAGCTTGAAGGTAAACAAACAACGGCTTATCATAAGCATCTTATCGATGATTATTTGCACAGTTGGCATTAAGGAGAACATATAAACGTGATCTGACTAACTTCTAGCAGCTAAATGCGTCTGGAAAAATATTCAAAGGCTTTTATTCTCACAAACCGCGCGGACGTAAATGCGTCTGACTGTTGTGATTGGCTAAAGCAGAAGTCTTACGTCAGCACGTTCTAGACGTGCACGCGCTTATTCCGGAAATATTCCTTCTGCGTTCACACAGCGCAGCATTCCGGCAAATTGCCGGTAATGTTACAACTTCTCTTTCCGGAAAATAGCCAGAACGAATTTACCGGTATTTTCAAAAAGGACCTGTTCACACATACAACCTTTCCGGAAAATTGCCGGTAATTTTCCGGAAAGGTCTGTATGTGTGAAAGGGGCTAAAGTGTTCAGATCACCCAAACTACATGATGATACACTTTTATATGGTCATTGGTGGAGCTTGTTCATCAACAAGAAGTGTCTGGCAATCTGTGGAATAAAATCCTATTGTTTTGAAGTAGTAACCTCATCTGAATCGCAACATTTCCAATATATGGCATTGATTTTCAATGGAAAGTGAACAAAATGTCATTTAAGCTTCGTATGTACAACAATTTAAGTCAGAATTGGTATTTTAGGTCTATGCTCAGAAGCCTGGGCTGATTATACAAATTATAAAGTATAATTAAATTATAGTGTTTAAAGTGTTACACAATTACAATAAAGAAAATCTGAATGTAATAACGGGCAGGTATGAGCTTGCACCTTAACCATAACCAGTAAATGTCATAAAAATGCAAGTTGAAAAAAAGCTATGTGATATGTGAATTATTGTTGCATAATTATGCCACTTAGAACTCGCTTTGAATCTGACCTTTGCATCTTCACAGCCCCCATACTGTTAGCTCTGATGGCAGGAGAGGCTGCAGGCATTATGGAGAATATCAGCGATGATGTCATCGTTGGTCGTTGTCTGGCCATCCTCAAGGGCATTTTTGGAAGCAGCGCAGTCCCTCAGGTGAGCTCGGAGGCGCTTGCTTCATTTTTAGCTCTGTGCTTTTACAAATATTTTTGTGAACAGCTAGGGATACATGATATTGGATAAATATGATATTCCAAAGTTTTATTGTTTTAGCAATGTATATGGCGATATGAATACAGTTTAACAAGATGGTTTGAATAGAAAAATTGTATAATCACAATGCAAAAAAAAATGTCTTTGTCTTTTTTCTAGTTCAAATATCTAAAAAAAAAGTTTTTGTAAGTAATAAGTTAAAATGAAGAGCTTTTCTTAAAACAAGCTAAATTATCAACAATCTTATTTTCACTTTAAAATGTAGATATTTGGACTAGAAAAAGACAAAATTATAAGTTAGAAAAACTTTTTGTTTTGCATAAATCCTATAAATAAACATAATACATGTTTTTTACACCTGCAAACATCTTATTTTTTGTCCAAATGTGTTAAACTCTTGAAATGTTCAGTCACCGGCCTTAAACACATGCAAATAATACATTTCCACACTATTATGGTAAACTTGGTCAACTATAATTGGTCAACCTGGTCAACTATAATTCTGACTAGTGGTGTAACGGATCACAAATCTCATGGTTCAGATCACATTATAGTTTTTTAGTTACGGATCGGACCATTTTTTGTATCAGCCAAAAAGGGCAGGAGACAAAAATAATTTGCTTTTCATTTATCACAAACAGTACTGCAAGACACTTGGTTTAAAAAAAAAAAAAACATTACGTAGAACGTGCAATTTTATTAAAATGAAGAAATAATCAGCAGAATAAAAATAAATAGTAGATATTCAGTACTGTAAAAAATTACTGTTGCTGATAACACAATGTATAGTGTATATTTAGTCTCATTTTCAATAAAAGATTGTTATTCATTCATAAAACATCATGTTTCATTGCTTGATGGATAATTTTTGAAGAATTATTCAGTGGCATATTTTTTGATGGCTGGTTTTCGCCACCTATTGATTAAATAATGTATTTGCTGCCTACAACTTTTATTTTTGAGATTGTTAAATGCACATGGTGGTGATTCTAATCTTTACCATAAATACATTGGTTTTATCTAAACTATCAACTGTTATCTCAGTACTTCTATGTTATTTGACTGTTTGTAACTTCATAACTAACTCAGACTAAAGACTGAATCTCTTAGGATTAATAAACATATGCAAATCACCATCATTTATAATTTATTCTGCGTGGGTGTTGAGATCCCCATCTTTTAATCATTAATTGTGCAGCTCACACTGAATGTGTTGATGCAGGCTAAACAAGTAGTGACTGAAAGCCCCTTCAACAACCTAAGAAACCCACAACATCCTGAATAACCCACCACAACATCTTCCATCATCATTACGTTTTACAGGAAAGCCTACATGCTTTCATACATGTGATTTGAATGACACAAGAGATGATCTCTCTCTCTCTCTCTGCAGTCAATACATATATTTAGGATTAATCTACAAGTAAAAATGCATCGATCCATGAGTCACCTGTGGGTTGTGATCTGTACTGATCAACCGGGATCCATTACACCCCTAATTCTCACTCAATGTTGCATATCTTACGATGTCACTATTGAGGATGCGCATGTTGTTATATCGATGCTGAGATTATATATTGTGCAGATCTTTATACAACTGTCATGAGTTGGAAATGTCATCCAAAATGTAATGAATGAGTTTTCCCATACCTTGCTACACATTGTCACTGCGGCCTTTTCTTTGTGTATGGAGAATCTGGCTGTTCTCCAACGACAACAAACTGACTGTGTGTTGTGTGTCTGTTGACATGGCAGCCGAAGGAGACGGTGGTGAGCCGCTGGCGTGCAGACCCCTGGGCTCGAGGCTCATACTCGTACGTCGCAGCCGGCTCTTCTGGTAATGACTATGATCTCATGGCTCAGCCTATCACACCTGGTCCTGCCATACCTGGAGCCTCACAGGTGAGCATCTTTGTATATTGCTCATTTCCATTTGACGCAGTAGAAGTGGATGCGATGACGATTGTGTGTGTGTTTTATAGCCTGTTCCACGTCTGTTCTTCGCTGGTGAACACACGATCAGAAACTATCCTGCCACAGTACATGGTGCTTTGCTGAGTGGCCTGAGGGAGGCCGGGAGGATAGCCGATCAGTTCCTGGGAGCCATGTACACTATGCCACGCCAGGCCACAGCCAATCCAAACCCACAGCCCTCCCCCAGCATCCAATAAACCCAGCACATGGTGCAGACTGAGAGAAAATAAGATGGGGATTGTCGGAGAAAGAATGTCTTGGTTGATAAAGAGCGGGTGGGTCAAGTGAGGACACTGGGTGACTCCTTAGACTGAGAATGTGTGTTTATGGGAGAGTTTGTCTGCGTGTAAGAACATGCCTTTAGGGAAATCATTCTCTAATCTGGGAGCTGGAGCTGGGATTTAAATAAACCTTTTGCTCAGTTTTATTTTTACCTACTATCTAACTTATTGGTCATCTGAAAGGACAAGTGGATTGTTCCAGTAGAGTTATGTCGGAATGTTCCTGGAATGGTTTGCTCCATGCTAAGGCACATATAAGCACACAGACTTATTTACACTCCTGCAAAGTCCTCGTTCACATATCAGATGTTTCAGTGCAGAGCATTAAATTGTAAAAAATAGGAGATGGACATGGATACATTAGTTGAAATCCAACTGCCTACCCAACCCATTCCTTTTTATTTTTTCAGAATATAATAAAAAAAATAAATAAATAAAATAAAATAAATCAAAAGCAGATGTTATGCCTTTCTGTGTCCCTCACTTTGTAGCTTGAATGTTTTTGTTTGGAAAAAAATTCTTATTAGCTGGAATGCACGTTGTTGCTAATAGGTCTGTTTCTGTTATAATAGATGATCAGTTCTAACTTTGTATGTTTTTGAGCAGTGCAAGTTTTATTTTTAAGTGTTCTTGTTTAATTATTGCTTTTTTATATTTTGTGATTTATTTGATATTAAAAATATGAAATCATCTTCATAAGCCCTCATGTCTGTTTCTTCATTTAAATGTTATTTTATTCATTTAGAAACAGTTTGCATTTCTAGAGGTAAGTGAAATTTTGCTCCCACAGATCATACATGTAATTTACTACAAAAAGAAATGGCTGAAGTCAAAATTGAGATTAATTTAATTGATCAGCAAATTACATTTATACAATTTAACGACAGAAATTTCAAGATAAAAGTAGACACTTAAAATTTTAACTTGAATCGTAATTTAGATTTTTTAAAATTGAAATTGGTAAACAACAAAAGATTTTGACTTAGTAAATCAAACATTTTAAATAAAAAATTTGGAGTAGAAATGATAAGATTGTTTTATCTCATTATTTAGATTTTATAAATCAGTTTTGAATTCATAAATCATGATGTCAGTCAAAACTGACAATTATGATTTATAAAATCAGAATTATGAGATGGTTGATATTTTGATCTCATAATTTAGATTTCATAAATCATCATTTTTATGTCAATTTCGACTAAATTGTAGTTTTGATGTTTGATAGAAATTTTATAAGTCCATTTTTTTTACCTCAATTTCGACTGATGCATGATTTTGCTTTAATTAATCATAATTAGCATTTCATAATTACGACTCTTCTCATAATTTAGATTTTACAAATCATAATTTTTTGTCATAAACTCAAAGTTATGACTCCAAAATTATGATTTATAAAGTCAGAATTAAGAGACAAATTCAAAATTATGATTTAAAGATTAATTTTTGACTTTTCAAAAGTAGGATTTAGAAAGTCGAGATTACGAGATAAAAAGTCAGCATTATTATATTACGACAAAAAGACATTATGGCCAAAGTCGAAATTATAAAAAAAAGTCCAAAACTATGACTTAAGAAGTCTGAATTTTGACAAGTTAACCTTATGAGATAATGTTGAAAACTTAAAAAAAAAAACAAAAAAAAAAAAAACATCTAAATTATAATTTATAAAGTTAAAATTATGAGATAAAAAGATTATTGTGACCTCCAAATTACATTCATTAGAGACAAATTTATGGCTTAATTGAAATTTCGAAATGAAAGTAGAATTTATGTGTAAAGTTGAAATTATAATTTAAGACTTTCAAAAAAAATCTAAACTATGACCTAAGAAAAAATAGACAACAAAAGTTTAAACTGACATATAATTTGTTAAATCAAAATTAAGACAACAAAATTTTGATATATAAAATCTAAATTATGAAAGATTAATTTTTGTATTGTCAAAAGCATAATTTAGAAAGCTGAAATTGTGAGATAGAAAAGTCAAAATTATGACTTAGAAAACGTATGAATTTTGACTTTTCAACATTGAGATAAAGTTGAAATTATGACTTAAAAAAATCTGATGTATAAAGTCGAAATTATGAGATAAAAAATAATTATGGCCTAGCAAATCCCATTTACGAAATTATCAAAATGATGAGAAAATGAAAGTTTAAATTTTGACTTACTAAATCAATCAGACATAATTAACTTATACATTTAAATAATGAAAAGGATTTAATTTTGACTTGTCAAAAGTATGATTTAGAAGTCAAAATTATGAGTTAAACAGACAAAATTATGGGCACGGTGGTGCAGTGGGTAGCACGTTCGCCTCACAGCAAGAAGGTTGCTGGTTCGAGCCTCGGCTGGGCCAGTTGGCATTTCCGTGTGGAGTTTGCATGTTCTCCCTGTGTTAGCGTGGGTTTACTCCAGGTGCTCCGGTTTCCCCCACAAGTCCAAAGACATGCAGTAAAGGTGAATTGGGTAGGCCTTAATTGTCCATAGTGTGTGTGTGAGAATGTGTATGGATGTTTCCCAGTGATGGGTTGCAGCTAGAAAGGCATTCGCTGTGTAAAACATGTGCTGGGTAAGTGGGCAGTTCATTCCGCCATGGCGACCCTAGATTAACAAAGGGACTAAGCTGAAAAAAAAAATGAATGAATGAAGACAAAATTATGATGAATTTATGACAAAAAGAAGAAATTGTGACTAAAACTGAAATTAAGACTTAAAAAGTCACAATTATGAGGTCAAAATTATGACCAAATAAAATGCATAACTAAATCAGAATTATGACTTCATTAAAATTATAAAATCAAATTTGGGATAAAAAAAAAGGAAATTGACTATCGCATAGTTTCAATTTGCTAAAACAAAGTAAAAAAAAAAAGTCAAAAATATGACTAAAAGGTTGAAATTACGAGATTAAAAAAGTCTAACTGCATGCACTGCAATGCCATGACACAATAAAAAGCATCTTTCCATGTTAAAAACAGATTTTGTTTGTTGTGATAGTAATGAGCAAATTTTTTATTTTATAGACAGTTTATTTATTGCTGTAACAATGTAATTCCTACAACCCTCATCTGAAGCATCATGGAAGCGCTCTACTGCAGCAGTCTATAGAATAATAAAGTAAAGGTATGGACTTCACTACAGTATTATGGTGATACATTACATCATTCCACTTCAGAGGAAATACCAATTTCTATAAGTAGCCTGACACATCATCACCACAACTTATAAAGCATGCATATAATGCAGAATAACAGCAATATATTATGAACATATTTCATCACTATAGGCTTTTGTGAACATGCAGGCTTGGTTATTTGTGTTCAGTTTCAATGTAGCTGTTAAACCTGATTAATGACATGAAAAGAACAATAATATATATTTATTTTGACTAAGTCCTAATTTTATCTCATATTTTCAATTTCAGAATTTGAAACTTTTAAGACACGTTTTTTTTCCTCTTACCTGTCAAAAATGGGCGTTCACAGAAATAGTGTTCACATGCTAAGGATGATCCCGCGGATGTGACTCTTGTCACTGTTAATAAAATGTTGTGGTTAAAGCTGAGAGTAAAAACAAATGCCAAATTACCAAAAAGCTGGATTCTTTATTTGTTCCAGGTCACAACATGTATAAAAGATCTTGTTTGAACGATTAACATGGAAAATAATATTATTTTCAACAGGTAAATATGTCGTTATTATGACATAATTGAGTGGAAAAATAATGTGGCAGCAATGCGTCACCAAGCTGTTTAAATCTAATATTGGTCAAACAGTAAGTATCAGTTCAGTAAGGTACTTTCTTATGTGAGGTCCAGACTAAAGAGCTGTTATGATACTTCCGGTCACATCTCTTGCTGTGTTTAATAGTTTGTGTGCATACAAAAAATGTAATTGACCGATTGATGTGCATCCTGACGGCTTTTGTGAATCATGGCATCAAAATGACATCAAAAAGAGAGTGCCAAAATCACATTGTGTAGTGTGTTTCTTCAGTCACATTACCAGTTAGTTTCTCTTTATTCTGTTTTGTGAGCATTTCCTTCCCTTTTCTGCCTGCTCTGCTTTTTAATTCCTTCTTTATCCAGCATCTCCACATGTCATGCTGCCCAGAGGCTTTGGTGGCCTCTCTCTGTTCTTACTATAACCTCTCCAGGCCTCTGGCTTTGGCCCCGGTTTGTGTGGTGTGGCTCTTGGCAGCTGCGCTGCATTGTGGGAGTCTGAGGGACCTGAGCTGATATTGGCCCCAGCAGTTTGGTTCATGATTAGAGCCTTGAGCAGCCTGTACCGCGATGCCACAACCATACTTTAATTCATAATACTGCAGTCGTCCAGCGGTTTTGATAATGTGAGTACATTCGGTCCGCTGACCGCAGAGCCCAACTGCCCTCAAATCACGTCCATTAGATATTACGCTATTTTGTGGATGCTTTAATGTCGAGCTGTTAACTGCAGGAAAATTCAAGATGAGCTCCTCTAGATTTATTGACTCTCCTCAAGCCGCAACCTATGTCTCTAGCAGGATATGATGCACTCGCTTCATTGCCTCGGGACAGACTCCTTAATCTAATTGCGTAATATAAAAATGGATTTTTATCTCCATGAGAATTCTACTAATATTTTAATACTGATGTATTCCTTAAAAGACACCTGCATGTCCTCGGGGATCTCTGATAAATATTTCTATGCGTGTGTATCTCTGTTTGAATGTGATTTCTGATGCAACAGGCATTGCCGTACATGAGCATGTCAAAACTCAAACCTGACTCATCCTGTTCACAGTCAGATGTTACACTTTATCACCCACACACTACAACTTCTTCACAATGTGCCCTTCAACAAAGAAACCCCCACACACCCTGTTGCTCAAGAGTGCAGAAGTCTACTTCATGTGGAATGAAATACACACTCACCGGCCAATTTATTAGGCACATGTGTTCCACTGCTTTTTAAAGGAGTAGTTCTACCAAAAAAGGAAAATCGCCCCATAATTTGTTTCCCCTCAAGCCATCCTTTGGTGTATACCACTTTCTTCTTTCAGAAAGATACAGTAAGAGTAGATTTACAGTTAATTTAGGCTCTTCCCATATAATGGTATTAGTGAATATTTGTGATCTTTTTTAACTTCCAAAATCACATCCGTCATAAAACTAACCCTTAGGGGTTAACCAACGCAATCTCATGGCAATTCGTAACTTTTTGATTTAGTGGCTAATTCGTATGAATTCCTATGATCTAATTTGTACAATTTAATACAATTTGCTCATAAGCCAATGACGGTGGGGTTGGGTGCCACACCTCCTTTTTAAAATCCTACATTTTCATACGGCTGAACTCGAACAAATTCGTACAAATTAGTCACTAAACTGACAAAACGTAAAATACTTACGCTTCCTCGTGAGATCAGGCTGGGTTAACGCATGTCTTATGAAGTGGATCAACGTGTTTTGGCAATAAATAAATAAATAAATAAATAAATAAGTTAATAAAATTAGTCGAAATTATTTACCATCCAGTGAATTTTGTTTTACTTTCAAATATTTACCACACTGTAAAAAATGTTACTTAGATCTAACTTATAAAAAGTGAGGCAAGTGGTTGCATCGGACGTTTTAGGTTGATTCAACTTCCAGCCTTTTTTAAGTATTTTAAACACTAAAACATTGCTTAAAACAAATGCAATAAAATTAAGTT